AAAAATAAACCAAGTACCACTGAACAGCCCAAGAAAATCAAAGCATGCTTACACCCAGGAAACAAATGATTTTCAGTTATACCCTGCTTGTCATTTGTGGTTTACACAAAACAATAATTAAATTATGTGCTCCAGGAAACAGGAAGGAGTGGATAAGCAAAACACATAAAAAGCCCCTATAGTACCTGTTTGTTCATAGTATAGTCGGCATTCTTTAGGATTCCTTTTCTTTTATTACAGGAATGAAAATTGGGATGAATAGACTTATTTGCCTATAATGTAATACATGACAACATTAAATACTGCTCGTCTTCCTCTATAGAACTTACTTTTAAGCAGCAGCACCCAGCATGATTTTGATGTAAAGGTAAATTGGATCACATCATTTCCAGCTAAAGATGTTTATCCCTTCATTTTCCTCTTAAGACAAATATAAATAATAGTAGCAGTGACAGTAACGGATATAGCAGTAAACTCGACACAGCCTGCCAGGCTGCCTCTGGGTCTGTCCCCAGCTCTATCCTCACCTCCCACCTGCACACCATTCACTACAATCCTCACCATTTTGAGGCCTTATTTCAGTCCCCCTGAAAGAAGCTCTTTATGTGCCTTTTACTTACCATTACACTACTGGTTTCATCTTTAAATAGAGAACTCCTGATTGCCCTTAGAGGCTTAACTAAAGGCCACTTCTGCCAAGAGATTTCACTCACTGCCCTCCACTCCCAGTGGGGTCATTTTCTATGGCTTTCTTATATAAGCACAGTTTACTTTTTCATTAGAATATTCACCTCAACTTGTAATTCTACATCCTTTTTTATTTGCATTTGTTTACTGTTTTATCCCCAACAAGACCGTATGCTTCTTAAGGACAGAGAACCATATCTGCTCAGTTCAACTCTCTATACCCAGTGACTACATCGTGACAGGCGTTTATTATTTGGTAAATAAATTAGAGAGTTGAGAAATAAAAGACTAAGCACATCTTCCCACTTATAAATTCCTTACTACCTTCAGTACAGTATAAACTATTTTTCAATATTTTCTGAGACTTGGGAAGAACTGAGAGGGATTCCTTTGATCACTGTGTACTACCCTGACATAATCTCTGGAGAACTCCATCTCTGAAACAGGTAGATGAAATATTTAAACTCCTTAAGAAATCAAAGGAGTAGAGCAAGACTGTAATTTAAGTATCATTGAAATGTGCATGTGCATGGGGAGGATGGAAGAGGTGTCTATTCCCAATTAGCTCCTTATTTCACTTTCTAGCAACGTCTTCCACATATTATATTTGGCGTGCATACTACGTTAGTTAGATGTTCGGTTTACCCGAGGTATGTTGCAAAATTCTAGCACAGATAAGTACAATAAGCATATCCAATCTTTTCTTTCAGTTTCCAAGGGAAACTTTTTTCTTTTCACATCAATAAAACAATCCTCCCATTGTGTGAAGAGCAGCTCCACACCCACACTGATCTGCCCTACAGATGTCGGGATTTCAATAGCAGTGACTTCATCCTTTTTATATGTTCTTTTCAAAGTAAGACAAAAGCTCTGAGAGCTAAAAATGTTAGAATACAGAATACATTGCATTTTGTGTCTATAAGTTTGAGGCTGAAAAATGTCACAAGATAAATTTGCCTTTGTAAAGGAAGAGAAAAATTATATAAGTCTGTGTAAGTCTTTTCCCCAGGGGACAAACTCTTCCAGTCCTTAGCTATATATGCCCTCTGGCAAACTTAAAACTCTGTCTTTTCCTTATTTCACCTTTTCTTAGAAGAATATTAATTAGTAGAAACCATACTAAATCAAATAGCACCTACATTCACTAGTTATATGATCTTAGGAAAATCATTAAACCACAAGGTTTCCTACTTCTATTGGTGAAATGAAGGAGGAAATCATCAGGCTATTTTAAAGACAAAAGTACTTTATAGTATGATTTCTGGCACATAACAGGCACTCCATAATTGTTAAGTGTTGTGGCTGTTTACGAAAGAAAGCATTCCGATAAGTCTTCGTGTGGTTTAACAAGGCTTTTTTATTTATTTATATTTTCCAAAACACGAACTTAGAAGCTAGGGAAGGCTTAAGCAGGAATGGCATCTCCTTCCACAGTCATCCTAGACTCTCTAAGATAATAGGACATCCAAAGTTCAGTTTTAAAGTTCTACATTAGCTCCTCATTAAAAATAAATAAGTAAAAAGTCTAATGTAGCTCCTAAAAGGAGGACATTATAATTAAGAGGTATTTGAGAAACAGGGATATTTCCTTTCTTTTGAATATATAAATACTTCTTAGTTTTGTTTAGTGTATGAATGAGATCCCTAACTTCAAGTCAAACCTAATTTTTAAAAAATTCTGAAGTTGCTATGTATATCTGTGTTTATAGCTAAATTAGATACTTGCAATTAAGAGAAATTTAAGTACTTAAAAATCAGAATGGTCAGCAGAGCACACATAAAGAACAAAGGGGAAGATGATTTTGGAAAGCTACAAATGCTGTTTTAATCTTTGAATCTATGCTGATCCCTCCATAAAAACAGACAATGCAAGCAGGATATCGAAACCAAAAACCAATAGACAATATGTACCACAAAACCAGTATTAGTGAGTAGGGATAAACTGACAGCATATGTTAAAAACCCACATGGTTTAAGAAACTGTGCAGGAAAAAGTGGAAGAAAACCAAGTGAGAGGGAAAACAACAAAATCATCAGGTATTTTTTGGATAGCGTTGCAGGCCATTCTGAGAATAGCAATAGAAAGTAGGAGAAGCCTTCGTAGGCATCAATTCAGAGTTGAAAACAAGCAACATGCCAGGGTGTTAGGGGTATCTGGGGGGTCCAGACCCAAAAGCACAGAACACTCAAAAATAATAAACTGAAGCACCTTTTCTAAGTTAAAGCATCACCCTGAGAACAAGTCTAGATGGACAAAGAGAAATAATGGAAAGAGAAGATCTAGACAAAGGAGGGCAACAGAGGTAGAAGTACCCAGAAAGAACTTGGCCATATCATGCATCTTTTCCTAAAAACAACTAAAGAAAAAGCATTATACCATTAAGCTAGAAAAATTATTTTTACCTGCCCCTTCCCCCCTAAAAACAGATAAAACTCACTTACTCAAAAAGGAGCAACAGGAGAGGATCTCAAATCTCATACATTTAATATAAGAAATAAAAAAGAGCAAAATATTATTCCTACAGGCAATGCATGTACATCAGAAAGACCAATGCAGAAAACTGAAACCCAATATTTAATAATCTAGAAGTAATTAAGAAAATGATATAACTATAAAAATCAGAATTGGAATAATGTGGCTTTGTGAAACAATGTGATAAGAACAGAAAAATTGAAAAAAAAAATTATTCCAGAAATGAAGGCTATAAATTACAAAGACAGAAGTGAATAAATACAAAAGATAATACCTAAAGAAATATAAAAGGGAAAGAAATTTTCAATTCAAAAAAATTGAAAGATTGAAAATATCCAAAAGAAATTAATAGCTATAATAGATGGGAAAAGAACAGATAACCTTCATGCAAAAGCAATCAATGAAGAAGAAAACTAAAGTAATGAAACACAAAATACTAAAAATAATGCCATAAAAATTTTCATGAAGATTTGAAATTACACAATTGTGTACTTAGGGATATCAACTGAGAAGCCATAATTGAGAAAATACTAGTAAACCAATTGGACTTGAACAGAAAAAAATTAGTTGAGCATCCAAACAGACCAGTCATTCATATGACAAAGAAAATCAGATTTTCATCACATTTGACCAAATTACTTTGACTGAAGAAAACAGAGTGGCATATTTAAAATGCTCAATAAAAAATTTTTGAATCAAGATTTTTTTTTTATCTAGGCAAAATCATCTCAAAGATTTTGAATAATTTTATTCACATGGAAGAACTGGGGAATCCTGTGTCCAGGAAAACTCACCCTGTGGGCAATTCTATAGGACAATGTACTTACCCTGCATCTTCCCAAAATTATTTTTTTTGAAAAAATGCCAAGAAAAGCTATAGAATAAAAGAGTCAAGAAACATACTAACCAGTGGTAATTCATGGGTATTGTTGCTATACTAATAAACAAGTGGGAAAACAATGTGTAAACATATTGAAGAAAAGGGAACACTGTTGACATTAAGGAATCAGTGCTGATATTTCCGGGTGTGATAATTATATTATGGTTATATTTTAACAGACGAAACCTTTCTTCCAGATGAAATATGATATCTGAGATTTGTTCAAAATAATCTGGGGGAAATGGGTGCAGTTATAGTGGAAGTAAGATAGGCCATGAGTTGATAATTATTGAAGCTAGGTAATGGCTACATGAGTTCGTAATAGTATCCTCTCTTTTTAGGTATGTGATTGAAAATGTCTATAGTCAAAAGTGATAGGGGGAAGGAGGGGAAGGAGGGAGAAGGCATAATCAAGGGGAAAAGGAAAGATAGAAAAAGGAAGCCTAGTAAAACCTTAAATGCCATTTCAGAAGCTTTGAATAATATGTCAAGATGATTCTCTCTCTCTTTAGTAGGCTCATTTCTCCTAAAATTCAGCTTATATTCAGTATGTTTTATCATATTGTACAACAGGTTACCTAGAGTTACACTATGAACCTATCGACATAAAAATATCAACAATTAGCCATTGACTCTTTTGTTAGAATTTAAAATTTTGCAATGCTAGTTTATAGTGGATACAACTGCATTTAATTCAGGAGATCATATTCATTCCTTGGCTCTTCTTGTCTGTTGTTAATTCCAAAACTACTCAGATGGGGAAAATATCCACAAAAGGAATTGAAAAGGGGATGTAATGTGTTTCAAGTCCTAAGTGTTGGCAGACCAAAGGCTCTCACAAAGCCAAATGATAAGAATATTAGGATGGAAGAATCTGTACACCTTTTCAATGAACATATCTTTATATTATAAAAATTTTTGGCAATCAAAGTTTATAAAACTCAGTCTTTGAATACTCACAGGTAATTCACTTTTCAGCACTTCTTTAAGAAGATGACCTACATTTTCTTCACCTTCTTTTACATCCGTAATTACACAAATCTCTTGTGAAATTCTCTCTGAGATTAAAAGAAAAAAGAAAAAAATTAAAATGTTAAGTTTCATACAAAACATGGAACAAAACCCTAGTATGCTGAAACCTGTACTTACCTGTTGTTTTTAGTTGTTGATCAAGAATAGGGAGGTTTTGGCTTCAGGTCAAGTGGAGTGACCTGTACTACACACTGAGATGTTCTTGACTCTGTTTACCACCCAAGTCAATGAATCTATGCATTAAAACCATTTTGAGTGAGTAACCATCCACGGGGCAAGCAACATAAATAATAGATTTTAGGAGTCATTTGGAAGGAAGTAACTGGAAATGACAACTACTTGGCTTATCAGTTCAATCCTTCCATGTCGTAAGGAGTCTCCCAGAATCTGATAGATTCCCATTTCTCAGGCAGGTTCACCCTTTAAGCTGTAAGATGTCTCCTGTGCACAGACTCACTGGGCTACCCAGTGCCCTGGCTAAGCATGGAGTTTTCCTTGGCATTCCTCTAGATTGTCAATTCAATGAAATTAAGATCCTATTTTGACGATTACCATAACAAGTAAAAATGGTTGAAAAAAATTTCTTCAAATTTAAAGTCTTGCAATGATCTGATTAAAAATTATAATCTAGGTGACATAGTAATATTCACCTCTGCAAACCCTGGATGCATTCACCCAAAAAATATCCAGTCCTCTTCTAGAGCAGGCAAATCCAAAGTACTAAGAAATGCTTATATAGCTGCTGGCTGAGGAGCCATTCCACGTCAGAGACAAAGAAAACAAAGCCTAATTTTAAATAGGAGTCCTGAACCAAAATAACATTTGACCCAGCTGGCTCTTTTCATGGGCAATTCTGTATAACATGTTCTATGTAACCACTAATCTAGCAATAGTTAATGATTCTTCCAAGCAAAGCTAGGTAAGATTATTTAAAATAATATTACCAGTTAATAGTACTCCTATTATAACCTCCCCCTTAAGAATAGTATATGTTCCAGGAGCTGTATGCTATGTTACTGTTAATCCTCATGATAACCTTACAAGAATAATATTAGTCTGAATCTACTTAACAGATTCAGGAAGTTTGATTTCAAAAAAGTGAAGTGCGGGGCTCCATGGCTCACGCCTGTAATCCTAGCACTCCGGGAGGCCAGGTGGGAGGATCACTCAAGGTCAGGAGTTCGAGAAAAGCGAAGTAATTTGCCCAAGATTCACAGGGATATGAGTAATAGAAAAGGGATTCAAATCCTAAGAATTCCTCAACACTAAAATGAAAGGAAAAGGGAGAAAAGACATCTAATATTTACTGAGCAAGCATTTTCATATGAAAAGTCTTAATGGTTTTATAATCATTACCTCATTTAATGTCTCAAAATATGTATTTTTAGCTAAATGATATAATTCCTGTTTGCACTCTCAGGGTATTTAAATCTGGGTCTTCCCAAAGCTCAGGCCTTTTCTAACATGCTGAATTTTCTTTGGTAATTTCTGTAAAATAATCTAACACATTCTTCATTCTCTTGCACTCTACAAATTCAAGAAAACTAAATATATGTAAAGTAATTCAAATGGATCGAGAGGATTACTTTACTCTGGATACAGATCTATGACATTAAGTTATATTACCTTAAAATCATTTCATCTCCTTAGGACTCCACTCACTCAGCTACGAGGTTTCTACCGACTCTAAAAAGTCTTTAATTCTAAGTTACATGATATTAATGAAATTCAACATAATTAAAGGGCATAAATGAATATTCCAGACAGTAAGTGTTATAGATCATTGTGGAGAGAGATGAAATGATGACAAGATCAGATAACTCTTTATAATAAAGTGGACTGGGAGCTTACTCTTAAAGGTAAGTAGGTATTGCTTAGGAATGGGGACAAGAGGCTTTGAACATAATTAAGAAAAATAACAAAAACAGAATTTGAAAATGTATTGAGGCAGGAAAAGTATTCATATAAACATAGTATGACCAACAGCCAAGACAATTACCTGAAAACTATGAAATCATTTAGTAGTAAACTCTAAAGTAGGATACTCAAGTAGAGTCATATCATGAAGGCCCCTTGCTCTTTTGGATAATATAGCATCATGAGAGCTTTCAATCAGGAGATAGCTATTATAAAAGCAGTGGATTTTTTTAAAACGAAGGTAACCCAATATCACACATCATGAAATTAAATATTTAGAGAAATTTTGGCTTTGTGATGCCCTAGCAAAAACCCAGACAATTATATTTCTGAATGCTTATCACAAAAAAATTAAAAAAAGAACCAAAAAAATGTAATGAACACAGAGTAATTTACAAACACAACAATTAATGTGATGGCACCCTTTGGGCAAATTTATAAAATGATGCATAAAGTTAAGAATTTTTTAAAACAAAATTGAGCATATGTAGTGAATTCTCCCTTCCTTGTTTCATCATATATTCATCTTTCTTTAATTCTAAGCTCTACCAAATATAAGTCAACAACGATAAAAGAAAACTGGCATATTACTGCAAACCTACAAAAACAAAATATAAAAACATGAAGTAATTCAAAATCTATTTGACATTTTCTTATACCATGTTTTAGTTACCCAAAATACAGAACATTTTTTTGTTTAGGAATCTTTCATTGTCACATAAATTTTACAATCAATTTCCAAAAAAAATCTGCTGAGTTTTAGACAGAAATGATCTCTTTAAAATAACAAGCCTACCAATAAATATGATATATTCCTTCATATCCTGAAATTTTCCTTAATTTCTCTCATAAGTGTTTCAGTTTCCAGTGCAGTGTCCTTTCAGTTTTTCTTAGATTTATTCCTATTTGTTGATGCTACCTTAAGCTAATATTTTTAATTCCCTATTTGTTATCACATATAAAAATACATTTTTATATAGACCTTTTAGTCAGTAACCTTGCTAAGTTTACTTATAAACATTAATGTTTTACAAATTTTAAATTTTCTATAAACATATTGATTGTGAATAATTAAGTTTTATTTCCAGCTTTCCAGTCATAATTTTATCTGATAATGAAAATTTAGAATACCACTGCTATGGTCATGAAAAATTTAGCCTATAATTTTGCTTTCTTATAAGGTCCTACCATATTTTCATTAAATAGTTACACTATCCTCACATAATGAGTAGGAAGTGTTCTTTTTATATTCTCTGGAAAAGTGTCTAAGATTGATGTTATTTCTTCTTTCGAATAGTTTTAGAGAATTTACAAGTAAAAGCCAACTGTCTCTTTGTGAGAGAGTTTTTAATTACAGATTCAATATCTTAAATGGATAAATGAGTATTCATATTCTCTATTTTCTGTCTCAGTTTAGTAAGTTGTATTTCCCAAAGAAAATGCGTTTCATCTAAATTCTCATGACTACTAGCATAAAGTTGTTCATAACATCTTATTTTGTTGTCTTACAAGAACTGCATTGATGTTCCTTTTTCATCTCTGATACTGATTACTTGAGCCTTTGATATTATTTTATGAGAGCTCTTGCCAAGGTCTTATCAATTTTATTAACATCTTCCAGAAAAATCTCTGTTGATTCTCTTGCATGTTTATTTTCTAGTTCACAAGTTTCTAAATTTTCTTCATATTTTCTTCCTTCTATTATCTTCGGGCTTCATTTACTATTCTTTCCCAATTTCTTTAAAAAATAAGTTGTTGACTTTCTGCTTTTCTTTTTTTGGTAATATTTACATTTCAGGCTCTAAGTTTTCCTCTAATAACAGCTTTAGCTATACCTCAAACACTGTTATTTTTATTCGACTTAAATCACTTTATTTTCAGTTTAAAAGATTTCATTCATTTTTCTCTCACTTTAAATATTTTCTAATTTCTAATTTCTTATTTGACCCATGGATTGTATAGAATTTTAGTATTTTTATTAGATTGCTATGTAACAAATTACTATAAATTTGATGGCTTAAAACACTACTATAGGTTGGGAGGGGAAGAGGAAGACAGAGAAAGATGGATGAATATGCACAGAAATAAAGCAAATGAAGCAAAATGAAAACTGGTGAACCAGTGCATCTAGGTAAAAGATATGGAAGCTATTTGTGTCATTCTTGCATAATTAAGTTTGAAATTATATTAAAATTAAAAATTTATGCAAAAAAGAAAAAGTTAAAAGGCAAGCTACACATTGGGAGAAGGTATTTTCAATCAAATGAAGGGCTTATATCCAAAATGTACAAAAGCGACTACAAATCAATAAGAAGATGTCAAAGAATCCCACAGAAAAAAATGAA